CTTGTTAGTCTTGTGTGAGCAGTACTTTGTCTTGTAAGTCTTGTGTGAGCGGTACTTTGTCTTGTAAGTCTTGTGGGAGCAGTACTTTGTCTTGTTAGTCTCGTGTGAGCAGTACTTTGTTTTGTAAGTCTTGTGTGAGCAGTACTTTGTCTTGTAAGTCTTGTGTGAGCAGTACTTTGTCTTGTAAGTCTTGTGTGAGCAGTACTTTGTCTTGTAAGTCTTGTGGGAGCAGTACTTTGTCTTGTAAGTCTTGTGTGAGCAGTACTTTGTCTTGTAAGTCTTGTGTGAGCCGTACTTTGTCTTGTTAGTCTTGTGGGAGCAGTACTTTGTCTTGTTAGTCTTGGAACGGGTTAGTGGGCAGGTGCAAAAGTGTGGCTGGAAGGAGATGTGGTTGTGTGATACTGTGTTCATATGGACGTGTGACAGTAAGGTAATAAAATATTGTGTAGGACGGCGTGGTCTAGCCCAAGATCGGTAGTTGCTCCTTAAAGTCTTTACAACAAGACAAGAACAAAATTATTTTTTGTATTGATTGTACGCTCTTTTACTAAGTCACGCAGAAGCATAACAAACCATAAAGGTTAGTGCATGTTTTATTTTTCAAAATAACTTTTAAAAACATTTATCTACTTCCAGAAACGATACCTTTACCTGCAGTGCTGAATATGCGAGCTCATCTCTCTATCATTTATGCCATGCTCATTTGAATGGATCAATTTATAAAGTCTACTCTTATAATTTAGACCGGATATACAAAAATATCTACTGCGCCATGTGCGAAGAGGTAACTTTTAAAGACTCATCTGTAAACGATTCTATGAAAAATTGTGATGTTCTTAAAAATTACTACGTTTGGAATTTAATACAATGGTTTTAGTAGTTATATTAATTGCGTAATTTAAAAAAAATTAAAATGTTTGTGCTCTCGTTTAGTAAAACTATATGATTGGTCAATGGATTCGTCACAACCCTTTTAACAGTGAGAAAAAATGCGATGTAACGTGTGCTACATTACTTAAACAGATACAGTTCTCTGAGTCAACCTTAGTACTTTATTCTTATATACAGACAGCTCAGACGACACGCCCTGTCTCTGACTCAACCTTTCGTTAATTGCCTAACAATACACAGTGAACACTCAAGAGACCTAACTATGATATACACATGCAAGGGATGTAACAATCACAAACAAGACATGACGTAACATCTCCTTTTTTCTTTTCTAGCAATAAAACATAAACTAGTAATATCATCCAGCCCTCTTGTGACAAAGCAAAAGAAAACATACATACAGAGTTTCTTCCAGACATCTCTTCGGGGGGGGGGGGGGCGAAGCCCCCCCGAAAATTTTTAACCGCCCCCCGAACGAAATGAAATTTATATAATTTATATAGTAAATATATACCTTTAACAGTGTCCGCCCCCCGAAGAAAGTTTACCGCCCCCCCGAAGATTTCTAGTGCCCCCCCGGAGAAAAAAGTCTGGAGAAACACTGCATACATAGATACATTGCTCTCAAAAAACTAAATGTGATAATTTAAATAATTGCATATTGGCATTGTTTACATAGAGCAACACTGAAGTTCACAATTAAATAACACAAATGAGTCAGGGAATTTTGAGGCATCTCCACTTCCCGACCATATCGTGTTCGTCTTATTCTCCACTGGACTGACTGAATCCGTCACTGAAATCTTTTTTTTTAACAACCAGTGTTTTTATTGACTTGACAGCAGGTTCTGTCTCTCCGTTAGATCTTGGGTAGTGTAGACTACTGGTACAATGTTCAAACACTCAGTAATGTATTCAGATCGTTGCCACCTTGTTACATTACTTAAACAGACACAGTTCTCTTTAGTACTTTATTCTTATATACCGTCAGTTCTGACGACACGTCCTGTCTCTACCTTTAGTTAACTGACTACATTAACTACACATCAAGAAAAACACAGTGAACACTCAGGGAATGTAACCATGATATACATAATACAAGCGACAAGGTTACATGGATGTCCACAAAATAAAATAAAAACCCAAGCAGTAAAATACAATCAACTAATTTTTTTAAATATTTGTTTTAGCAACGAATGCCAGCGTTCACTACAAGCAACGTAAAAGAATATCCTGAACCTATACACACGTTTATCCTGCCCTTTACATTTCTTTTTGACTTCGGCAATGCGAAAATTGATTCACCAATGAGATTTTTCGATAAGGGAAACTCGTTTATTGCACATTGTGCACCACAGGAATGGTACGCACCACACGTAAGTTACGACACACTGACTGAATTAGACACCACAATGTTGACATCCAGTAGCGTAGCTACCGTAAAGCTTGCGTAAACAAGGCACAGGCTTCCAAGGCCCTTTTCCCTCTTTAAAAGATCAAAACTTTTACACCTTGGAATTTTAACATTTTTTAATATAAATAATTTAAAAAGAAATTGGAAATGCAGTTTCTTCTCTACACTATAAATAATTAAAAGCTCTATAAAGGCCCACAATTTTTTCTTGTGCAGGCTGTGGCATTCAGTGGGGGGGGGGGGGGGGTCGAACAGACCCCTCAGTAATAATAACGCCTTTGATTATGCGTCCTGCAGAGTCAGGAGTACTACTTGATTCAACGGCCAAACTGCAACAGGGGCGGTGTAAAGATGACAATGTTCACACAAGTATTCTACACTAGGGACAGGGTGGGCCTCTACGTTCGATAATTAATAAGAAAGAGGTGTTGCACCAGGCTACCTACGGTCGTGTAACCAATCACTCCCGCAACGCTTTTGACACCTAGGCGGTCGCCGAAATGATATTCAACCTCTGATTAACGTACACTCGATGCTTTTATACCCAAGGGTGTCTACCCAAGAGGTAGAGTGGAACAACTTGCTTCCCCGCAACAAAGTTCCGAAAAAATAGTAGTGGTGTTTTTTTACATTTAAACTATCTCAGTTTTAGAAAACAAGGTCACACAACTAAAAATACACAAAAGGCTTGAAAAAACTATGTAATCTTACAGAATTAAAAAAAAATCTTTAAAAATATAGGATAAGCGATACAATTATGGTTACATTTGTAAAAATTGAAGCTGTTTTGGAACCATCAATTACACTCATTTTCATTTATTTTTTTTTGGAAATGAATATAAGCTGTTAAAATGCCGTTTGAATTATTTTATCAATTCAAATATTTAATAAAAACAAACCGCCTTTAACCGCTCCTTGAAGTCAAGCTGAGGGGCAAGGGAAAATAAAACAATGAAAGTCACAACAATTTTAGATATGCCCATTGGGTCAGTACCTTGGCCATTCTAAGAATTGAACATAATTGAACATAAATTGTGTTGGGTTAGTGGCTTCATAAGATCGGGTGTCATCCTAAGCGTTTAATTAAGGTGTTACTCCTTCGTCCACAACAATTTTGCTTTTTCGGATGGGCGTCACCCCTCTCTATCCAAGAAAAACCACACACAAAAAGAACAAATTGCTAACAGCGTCGGCCTAAAGATAAACTCCGGGAAAACCAAGCTAATGAAAAAAATCCTTACAGTGCCATCAAGACCTTTGCTAATGGAGCAGAGCTAGAAGAGGTAGGAAACTGTAAGTACCTCTGCAGCTATATCTCAGCAAATGTCAGCAACGAGAAAGAAATAGCCACCAGAATAGCAATGGCAGCACAGGCTTTCAACAGACTTGCTAGGATCTGGAAATTATCCTCACTGCAGCAGTGAACCAAAATAAGGATTTACAAGACTATTGTACTTTATGTACGTTACTTCTCTATGTCGCAGAATCATGGAAACTAAACATGAAAGCAGAGAACCGTCTTAGAGGTTTTGAAAATTTATTTAAAACTGTCCATCGGAAGTAGCAGTTACTTTTTCCTTTAACTCAATTATAGCCTAACTACTGAATAAGGGGCCTACTGATAATTTTTGCATAGGGGCCCGAAAATTCTAGCTACGCCACTGTTAAAATCATCATAGTGAGCTGCATTAATAGGACATTGTTAAAAAATATTATGATGAAATGCAAAAACTGCACCTTGTTATAAGAAATAAAACAATATTTTGCAGTTTTAGGTATTTAAGGTTTCGTGTGTGTGTTTGTGTGTTTGTGTGTTTGTGTGTGTGTGTGTATATATTTGTGTTTTTTGAAGAGATAATGGCATCATACATATTGTTGCTGATAAGGGAGGGGATGAAAGGGATTTTGAGTGTTTATGCTGGAGAATATTTTTGACAACAGGAGTAATCTGATAGATAAAAATGGTCGACCAGTATCAATTGACAAAAAACAACAAAAAACTTGAGTAAACCGAGGAGTTTGTGAGCTCTGTTACCTCAAACTGCGTATTAAGTGATTTTTACTCATCAGTAAGCGTCTTAGTTCATCATCATCCTTCCCGTTATTTCCCAAGACATACCGGGGTACATGAAATATAGTTCTTTTGTTTCTGAGAAACTAGGGATTGTGTGGTCTGCACCATGTCCAGCCGCCTAATTTCCACTACGTCTTTATTAGTTAGTTACATAGGATGTGGATAATATAAATACACGTGTATTAATCTTTTAACAAATTACGTGGTTCAACATTCACTTGTATTTTATTTTAAATAAAACCACATCTAGATCTAGTAAAATGTTGATACCTTATGGTTAGAAAAGTTTCTCTATATAATATGTAGGCCTACAAGCTAAATTGGACATTAGAAAATAAGACAGTATATATGTCAACCCCCACCCCACATATTTCAACAAACGACAGACCATAGAGAAAGAGACAGAGTCCGCTACTGGCTGTCCAACTTGTTTTTCCCCAGGGTCGCTGTTACCGCCTGTCCTGCACCCCCGGGAAAGTACTGAGAGACGGGCAATGTGTCACAGCCCTCCCTGAAATCAGAGGCCTGGCATACAGCTTAAGGTTATGGTTGATTCCGGATAACCTAACCCTAACTCACCTCGGTGAAGTTATATTAGACGAGGCAGAGTTTACCAGCAAGATGAACTTAACCCTAACTCATATACTAACCAAGGTAAGTATTAAACACTGGTGTGTGAAATGTTTGCGTGTGAAACAAGAAACTCACTACCGAGCTAAATACTATAGTGCTGATTTACTTTTTCTTTGTTTATATAAGCATGTTTTTAAATTAAAAAAAAATTATTTCTCGGCACAATTATTTACGGTTGTAGTTTATAATGTGACCCAAAAAATGGGATACTGGTTTACAGGTATTTGCGACGATGTGTGATGAGGGGTAGTTGGGAGTGGACAAGGGGTTATGGGGGGGGGGGGGGGGGAGGGGATCTGGAGGAGTTTTAACAGAAGTGAAGAGAGGATGGTAGGGAGGGGTTGTTATGGTGGTCCGTATGTCAAAAATAAACCGGGAATGATTTCCCTTAAACTTTCTCGAATATTCTTATATGAAACAACAGGGGATGGCAACTCGGGATATAGACATGATTTTTTAATCCATTTTAAATATTTAAACTTTTAAAAATAGAAAAAAAATCTTGTAGAAAAAAGAATTGCGCACAAAGTGAACCCCAAATTAAATGTGGATATTAGTTCGGAATATTATTAGTAGTTTATAAATTGGTTTTTTTTTGAGAAATCGGAAATAGCAAAAATTACTACTTCCGATCAACGGAAATTACTCAAAATTTGCCAGAAGGCATTGAATTTGATCTTTTACTTACATGTGAAATTTTGTTTATCTATCTGAAATAGCACTCAAGTTATAGGCTTTTGAAAAATTCAAATTAGAAAAAGTTCCACTTCCGGTTATCGGAAATCGATCAAAAGGTGTTACGGATCTACGATTTTGATATAATACTTATACATGAAATCTCATCAACTTAGCTATAATTGTACTCAAGTTATCGTGTTTACACACACTCATACACAAGTACACACACAGAGACAGACGTACAAGATTGCAAAAGTATGTTTTTCCGACTCGGGGAGCTGTAAAACTTCGAGATTTGCAAAAATCTCGATATTTTTTTTTTTGCACGCTTACAAGAATTTTTCTATATTTCGAATATTCGAGCAAGTAATAAAATCTTACAAAAGAACTTTAAATTAATTGGCTTTCTAAATGCACTGAAAGTATAAACAAAACCAACACATTTGCTTTCTGTAATAAAAAAAAGCTAGATCGCTAATGAGATTTCTTCTATAGTTTAGCGACCAAAGCTTTTATTAAAGAAGACAAAGTTGTTTTATTTTCATATTTTCCGTGCATTTTATCAGTGTATGTTAAAGTTTGTTGTAAAGGTTGTTTTTTTTTAATTTTCATTTTATTTTCTACTTTTTAATAGTTCATAATATATGTAGAAGACACTGCACAGGGTAATAAAATTTAAAATATTTTCTTTAAAACACGATCAGTAGCTCGCAGTCTCTGAAAGACATTTATCTGCTTCTTCTCAATGCTCATGGTCATTCTCTGACAAGAAAGCAACAATCTGTGTCCAACAATTAAAAACAAACTGACCGAGCGATCGCTAATACTGCATCTTGTTATCTCCACTTTGTTTCGAAATGGTTTAATTAATTTGTAATGGATAATTTAACATCTAATCAACTGAAGATATATATTCTTTCATTGTCATTAATGACGAACGAATCTGGAAAGTTTGAACAAAAACGTTTCATTTGAAGTAGGTCAAAATTAAGTTTGACGTTTGAGGGATCTAACTTTGTAACGTTTGGGGGAGGGGGTAGATATGCTTGGTATAAAGTGTCTCCATCTCACACTAACAATAGATAATGAGAGAATTCATAAATTATGTTTTATATCTAATATTATCATTTAAAGATTTAGACTGTACTAGATGTATTTTCTCATAGATCGAAGTTCTGCTCCAAGATATAAGTCCTGCTTTTGCCCTGGCTTTTGGTTTCCTAAAAAATCCGATGCTCCAGCCCAACTTCACTTTCTGGGTGGATTGTATTGTCTTCGCTGACAGGCAGATGGGCAGGGACGAGTTTGAGAAGAAAATAGCAGACGATTTCATCAACCAGGACATGGTGGTTGAACTTAACCAGACGAGCCAGATGGTCCTGACGACACAAGTTCTGGCAGAAGAACACGGTGACGATTCTTTCTGCGACCTATTCCAATGGGAGTCCAGCCAATGTGAACAACATATGTATCGGTCGCCAGGAATATTTGTCGATCACGGTAATCGTTATCGAATCTACAAATTCAAACACTTGATTAAAATAAAAAATTTACTAACATGTCCGTACGTTAGTTTCGACTATCTTCAATACAACGTCACCCTTGGTTTCATAGACTACGTGGTGTCTTTGAGCTTGAACGGGACCGACGTTACCTTCTCCGAAAATTCTGAACTAAAAATGATTCACGTTGAAAGTGACGGGAAGTTAATTGTTTGCAAGGAATTGTTGAATAAAAAAATGTATGCTTTTGAGATGATAAACCTGAACCACGTGACTCCGGTACAAGATGACCTGACAAAGATAGCCCTCTATCTATGCACCCTGTGCTCGTTTGGCGCCTCCATACTTTTCCTGATCCTGACCTTGGTGTCGTACCTGAGGTTCTCCTTCTTGCGGACAGTGGCCGGCAGCAGTAACATGTTCCTGTGTGTCAGCCTGATGTTGGCCCAAACACTGCTCTTGGCCAGCTCTCACGTGTAAGTTTCATTCATTTGGTAATTGTTAACATTACACAAGCATCGTTAACTTTTAAGGAATACAGATTACATTGAAATTTACAAACACTAATTGTATGGAAAACATGGGCAAATTACACAACCGTGCAAAACAAGTACATAATGTGTTTAGTCGATATCCATCTTAGGAACACTACAGTGAACTGAAAGTTTCGAACCTCATACCTTATTTTTTTTACCCATAGACATAGATAAAAGTTAACGCAGCAAATGAAAGTTCTTCTTTCACAGTTTTTGGAGATGATTTCTTTGCTGTATAATCTTTGACTCCCCAGAAATGCCCCAAGCCCTGTGTGTACAGCTCTGGGCATCCTGACCCACTTCACATGGCTGTGGATGTTCATGTGGAACTTGATGTGCAGCTACCACATGTTCAGGGTCTTCACGGCCAAAACTCGACCGGTTGCCTTGTCCAATCGGGCGGAGGTTGTCCTGCTGCTCAGAAGATGCGCCCTGTCCTTGCTGGTGCCACTGGTCATCGTGCTGACCGTCGTCTGCTCAAGCATTGTTGTAACGTCAGGGGCCAGCATCGGGTACGGACAGGGAAAGTGTTATCTCGACTCGACACTGCTGGTTGGTAAGTGACAAAAAATAAAGTGGTCAAGTTTACACGACTGGATTTTGACGAAGAGTGGCAAATTCAGTGGTTTTCTACAAAGTACATGTTGGTAAATCACAAGAACACAAAAGCCAAACGTATAATTAATTGGCAAATGAGATGTAAAAATTAATCTCAAGACAGTTCTAACTCTGCTAGCTGCTTCCTTGGCCTTCCTTGCTTTCTTTTTCCTTGAGGCCTCCAGCTTAGTGGCGTTCTTGCGATATCATCAGATTCATTCTTAAGACCTGCTGCATCCAGCGCCATCTTCTTTTCTCGATTATTTCGGAAAAATGTTTCCATCTCTCCTAGTAGTCTATGATTGGAGAACCATAAAATCAACCACCGAAAAATGCACTTAGGAAAAAACACGTAACATTAAATAAACCATACAACAATGGGTAAACTGATATTTGCTCCCGTTCAAATGAAAACAGCAGGTAAAATTAAGAATTCGCATATGAAAAATGGTCATATAATGGCTAATAAGAAAATAATAGATCTTCAATCATTTTTTTTTCTAAAGGCGTGTCTTTAATTGGTCCACTTCTGCTGATTCTTGTCTGCAACATCAGTTTTTTCGCGGTAACGGTGTACACGATCAACAACATCCGGAACTTGCAGATGTCCGACAGCGTCAAGAATGACAACAAACGGAACATGTACGTCTACGTCCGACTCTCTACCATCACCGGAGTCTTTTGGTTTGTGGCTATTTTTGCTGAGGCGTTTGACCTTGATCCTTTAAGGTAAGTAGTAGAACTTACATGAAAACAGTTAATTATTTAAACTTTTAATTAATTTTTATAATTGGCATTAGGGTAAGAGTAAATGTAAAGGTTGCAAACAAGTAAGATATCAATTTTATTCTCACGTGGTTATACTTAATTATCACTCTTAAGTTAAAAGCAGTAATCAAATTAAGTGCTTTGGCGTCTCTAGGTCGGGTGTCATGGGCTGTGGTGTCCCAGGCGTTACCATCCCCCATAACAACCATATGATGAAACCCGGCTATTTTCCCCTTCGTCGTACAATTTAGTACTTGCTAGCAAAATAATAGAATGTTTTCATTGCACAAATTAGGAAACATTTAGGGAACTGCCTCCGAAATAACCCCCACTTCCGCCCACAAAAATGTAGAAGCGATACATGAGATTACATTAATTATATTGAAATTGTAAATCATTAATAACAGGGGATTGTAAATGGAACGAGTACACTTATAATTAAATTAATTAAAACTAGAAATAACGCTTTGAAAAATATAGTGTAAGGTTTCTTTTTACTTTCTCACATACAGAGTATACAGAAAGTATTGTAATCGTGCACAAAAAATCACATAAAATTTTGACACCGTTTTACACCTCAGTCCTTCATCACATCCAAAGTATAGAGGACTTGTTTTAATCTGGCTAAAATTATAAATCTAGATATATCAAATTTTGGCATTATATGCGTAATCGAGTCGGAAAAACTGGACTTTGCTATCTGTCCATATGTCTGTGTGGTAGTGTGTATGTGTTTTTGTAAGCATGATAACTTAAGTACCAATCCAGCTAGGTTGGTGAAATTTTATATAAAAGTATTCTATCAAATTTGTAGTTCCGTATAAACTTTTTATCGATTTCCGATAACGTAAGTAAAACTTAATCTACTTTCAATTTTTCAAAAGCCTATAACTTGAGTACTTTTTAGATAGATAAACCAAATTTTACATATAAGTAAAAAATCTAACTCTCTGCCTTCTGAAAAATTTTGAGTAATTTCCGTTGAATTGAAAAAGTAATTCACGATATTTCCGATCTCTCAAAAAAAAAACGCATGTAAAATTATAAAGCACTAATAATATTCCGAACTATTTGATTTATTTTGTCATATCATCGTCATTAATTAATACACATGATAGCATGGGTCTCACATCGAACCTAAGAAAGCAACTTAATTTTTTAAGACTTATTTTGAGATATGGCTTGGTTATTTAAAACATCACATATATGGGTTTTTATAAAGTAATATATAATTAAAACTGTAGAAACAGTATATACTTTACTTCTTATTTTGGTTCATGAATTAATTTCAATAGTTTTATAAGATCTTCTATTCTTTTCTTTTTTTTTTGTTCTTAGAATTATTTCAATTTTTAATGTTATTTCAATTTTTGTTATACCAAATGGTATAGTTTTGATATACAATCGGTTAGCTTTCTTCCTTTTTCTTTTTTTAATAACTTCCAATCGTGCTGTTACTTGAAAATATTTTTTATTATTTCAAACGGTAAAATATGGCTATTCTAAAATTCTTTTTAAAGCTTTCGGTTGAGTAAACCCGGTTTATTGATTTTATTTTGATTTCAGATTTATTGCTGTGTTTCTCAACGGCTTTGAGGGCGTCTTCATCTTTCTGTCGTATGTCTGCAACAAACGAGTTCTAGGCCTGCATCGTCAAGGTACCAAATTCAAATTACAGAGAGGTTCCCAGCGTAACGACAACCCTTCGGTCGCAGAAGAAAACGGTCAACAGGAAGCTAATGAGTAGCTTAGCGTTGTTGTCGTATAATGTCAAAGCAGAAGTCTAAATGTCAATACTGCATTGTACCACATTGTAGCTTAGCGTTGTTGTCATATAAGGTTGTAGAAGACGTTTAAATGTCAATATTACACTCTACCACAATAGTCAATACTATACTGTAATATTATTATCGGCCCTATAATGTGGGCTTATGATCTATACTAAAAAAGATTACTTATCTAAACTAAAACATCAGAGTTACTATCACATTATCCGCTAGGTAGTGTGTCCGTCAGTCATTGGTATTGCAACTGTGTCTTCTTACCCAAGAAGATTTACTTTATCTCATGAAATTAAATTATAGTAATCAGTTTCACCTTCAGACACTTATAACCGCTGCACTACAATTTATTTAAACAACTAGGCATGCTGCCCAGCTTCGCTTAGGCTTTCGAAAACATTGAGAATTTGAATGCTTAATCAATTCGCATGAGGGTCGGTCTACGACCTCAGGAGTTATGAAGAGGTTCCTACGTGGACATTTTTTTTTTATTAATACCTCATATAAGGCGCCGGTCAGTCGAGGTCAGTTTTGACCCCCTCATCGTAGACTTTTCGGCCAACCGGCCCCCGTGTTCTGTCGCCCCAAGGCAAGATCCTGCCAAATTTGAAGCGCCTGCGGCGCCGGGAAGTGCCCTGTCGGGCACCCGACAACTTTGCTTTTAATATATATTATAGAGATTAGCAAATTGCATAGATAAACAAAGATTTCAATAAAGTAATTAAGGCCTGAAGTACTTAGTATAGAAATGTATTATTTGAATAGATTCTAGATCTAGGTATGGTCTACATCTGTGTAAGTCTAGTTTTTCCGTAGATCTAGATCATCTAGATCTAGATCTAGAATCTCTAGACCTAGATGATCTAGAATATCTAGATCTAGGTTCCTAATAGAATTTTTTTATTTAAGTTTAGCCCGAGCAAAATTGTATTGTATAAATTTTATAGCGTACGTAGAACTAAATAATATTTGAATCAAATAGTTCCTTTCTTTTTATTCTAAACACGGCAGATGACGTCATTAGTTAATGTATAAACATTAGTGACGTCACTGTTTCATGGGTTCTTTTTCACAACTATAAACGTTTTTCCTGTTGCATAATTAATACTGTTTTTCTACATTCGAATACGCCTTTATTTTCTATTTTTCTTCTTTAAATAAAATTGTGGTTACACATTTAAAACATCTACCATATTTTTTTCAACAAAAGTCCGTATCAAGTTATCTATATATCACTGAAGATTCTGACGTGATGTCCGGCGAAAATATTTTGCGGACAGAGAGAGAGAGAGAAGTGCGCACTTGGACTTTTATATATTATGATACTTGGTAGATAACGTGATAAATTTTAAATAAGAAGCCGTAGATTTCAAATGTCGTCTTATTTTTATTTATGAATCTGGGTCTATTGTATACTTATATAATTTTCGTTTATGTCGACAAAGTTATTTTTTAGAAAATGTCAACAACACAATGTGTTGCAAATAATGGACATGTGCATTTTGTTAACCTAAAATTTAACTGGTCAGTGTTTAATGTTTTTCTGTATTAGACTAGTAGAAATGTTTGATTAAAATAAATACTAGATGGATAAAATATATGAATTTTAAAAATTGTGTATTTGTTAAGATAGTTTGAAAAGGGAAAAGTTTATATTTACTTTAAAAGACATCACACCTCAGACGTTTTAGTCTCATAAAAACACCGATTTCGACTGAGCATGGGCCTGACAACACAATCTCTTCATATGCTGAGGTCACAAAAACAGGTCAACTCTACTTTACCTGCCCAGTGTCCCCCCTAACTGAGATGAGATTTTGTCTTTGAAAACACAGATTTAGAATGACGATGGGTCTGACCACACTATCTCTTCACATGCTGATGTCACAGGTGAACTATACACCTACCCAACTCTACTTCACCTGCCCAGTGTCCCACCAAGTCTCAGACAACATGTTAAAAAAAAGATTCCGGCCTAGCATGTCTCTGAACACACTATCCCTTCACATGGTGAGGACAAAGAAACAGGTGAACTCTACTTCACCTGCTCTGTGTCCATCGAGCTCCCGATAGGCAACTTTATCATTCACGTTTAAAAAACAAAAATTGAAAAAAAATTGACTTTGTCGAGATGTGTCTCGAACCCGTACCACACACATGGTAGCCATTACACTACCATCTTAGCCATCCGGGCACTGACTAACCAATGTAGAATTAGTACTATAATGTACTACAAAGTAAGAAACCAGTTACGCGAATAGACTATTAGTATTATTTTAAATTTAATTAGGGGCCTATATCCCAAATTATTAGCTATTCTATAGCTAAACAAAGATTTATATACAACGATTATGGCCTGAAATAGTTTATTATATAGATCTAGATTCTAGTTCTAGATTGTAGATGTAGAATTTACGTTGAGTCTAGATTCTAGTTTTTGCCGTAACTATAGAATCTAGATCTAGAACCTAGATAAATAAATCACATGCATTCTCGAATTAGATTCTCATTGAAGCTAAACAAAGATTTATATAAAATAATTAAGGCCTGAAATATATTCTAGATCTAGATTGTAGATGTAGAATTTACATGAAGTCTAGATCTAGAATTTACGTCTAGATCTAGATTCTAGATTCATAACTTTTTCTTCCTTCGACGGCGGGTGTGGGGAAATTGCGAGACGCGAAAAGCGAAATGGCGAGGCGGGAAAATGCGAGAAGGTAATGCGAGACATACCTGCGGAATTAAGGGTAAATAGCGAGACACTTTTTGCGAAAAAAGTTTTTTCCTTTTTTTCCATCTTTATTTATTTACATTTTTTTTGTTTTAAAATAAACAAGCATTTAGCCATACCCTTTAACACGAGTGTTGTATATCTAGATATCTAGATCTATCTATTTAAAAATCCTAACATCGTTGCTGTGCTACTGTCATCGCCCGCTCTTGTTAGCGAGAGGAAAATCCCGTCTCAGTCGGCATTTATTTACAAATCTAGCCCGCTCATGTTTATACAAACGTGAGCTGTGTCGTTGTGAATTGGTATAATCTTGTCAGCAGGAGAGATATTTTGCAACATCTATTTATGGATTTTTGTACTTGCAAAAAGTGTAAAAGTATAAACAATTCTAAAAAGTGCAATTTATTTTTTTATTAAGTAATTTTAATTACAAACAAAATTTACAAACAAAATCTTCTGAAACAGTCCTCAAACACACCTCGTGACACCATCTTTCACACATAGTACACCCAACCCAGTTCATTAGACTCCCATTTATACATTTTTCTTTTGCTACTTCTTCCAATCCACATTCACAACATTTCACATTCTCATCACAGTTGACCTCCTCGTTCATCCCACAAACAACACTGGCACCCATGTTCTCAACATTATCATCTGCACGCTCAACATCTGTTTTCCGTTTTTTATCATTTGTATTTTTTATCATTTCTGTAATTTTGGCAATGTCTTGCTCATTGTTGTCACCAGCAGTTGAGTTTTTTTAAAACATCGATATTTTCCCAAAATCTTGTCTAATTTCGGTCAAAGTAGAGTATTTTAATCAATTCCTATTAAAATGTATTAAAACAGTTTTCTAAAACGCGAAAAAACGTCTAAAATTATTTTTCTAACATTGCTTTTTTATAGTGTGACTTCACATCTAAACCCCCCCCCCTCCTCCCCCTCATCACACATCGTCATACAATTACAGACCCCCCCCTACGAGTGTGACGTCATTTATGGAAGACCCCAAATAACACCACCACCAAAACCAAAAAATTCAGATAAGTTCAACTTGGTTTTAAAAATATTTGAAGTAGGCCCATAGCTTACGATATAGCACGAGCAACTGATAATATCGGTGACGTCACTTTATTTTGTTGTATCCAAATGATGTAGGCATTTCCTTGTGCTTAGATTTATATGGTAAAAAAAGCTAGAAAAAAAATCGTAGGCGGCGGCTATAATACAAAATTTCTATGCAACAATAGAAAATGTGTTTGCGGCGGCAGCGGATCCGGGCACTGTGATCTTCAAAGACGGTAAATCAGGCGGCCTCGGCGTTCCACACAAAAGACAGAAGTTGATCTATCGTCGGCGGTATTTCCGTCGGTTTCGAACAAGGTGGTATTCTAAGTCGACACAAAAGATGGGGGGAGTTGACCAATCATCAGTATGTCTAGCGACGGAAAAATCGGAAGTTTTAACAATGTAAACGAAACGTCTATGAAGTCTGGACTACACCCACTGGACTTTCCCCACACCCTTTGACGGCTGATCTGTAGATCTTGAGAAATATATTGTATACTAAAATAAAAAGAAATGTTAAAAAATTGATAATAGTGTTGAAACCTAATAAAAATAGCAAACGGACGCATCGTTAAAGCTTTAGCCGACAGAAAATTAGCTTTAGAACGCGTTAAAATTCTGAATAGAGGCTACAAAATTTTCGATGGAAGCCGCCATTAATGTTGTAAAAAGTAAATAAATCATGTGACGTCACTATTTAATATATATAAAGTCATTGTTCTGAACTTTAAAAATTAATGTGGTTAATCTACCAATGAATAAATCAATAAATTAATTAACGTCTTTAAATTAATTTGTGATTAACAGTCTGTATAAAAAAGAAAATTGTGCTCTACCTACATACTATTTTACAGCTCTACACATAGTGCAACTTCTCTCCTGTAGCCAAACGGACAAACAAAAAAACAACAACAAAAAAAAAAAAAAAAAAAATAAATAAATATTCAAATATGTAAAAAAAACTTGAGTTTTATTAGTATACTAGACTACCCGTGAAAACACAGATTTTGGCTGAGCGTGGGTCTGACCAAACTATCTCTTCATATGCTGTCGTCACAAGTGAACTTTACACCTACCCAACACTACTTCACCCGCCCAGTGTTTCGCCAAGTCTCAGAAAACATGTTTTATCTTTAAAAAGAAAAGATTCCGGCCGAGCATGGCTCTGACGACACTATTTACGTTATATACTGAGGACAAAGAAATAGGTGAACTCTACTTCACCTGCCCTGTATCCCGCTAAGTTCCAATAGGCAAAGGCAACATTATCATTCACAACTAAAAAAATTAAAATAAAAAACAAAACACTGGCATGTCTAGAACCCATGCCACTCACATAGTAACCTAATGTGCTAACCTCTCAGCTATCTAGGCTCGTACTCTCGAGTAGTTAATAACTTATATATTTTAGTTCTAAGCGGCGTAATAATCTACGCGAATCAGGCCTAGAATTAGATCGAGAATTATCTATATATATAATTCTCTTCTGGGAGACGCTAGAAAACAAGCTGTAAAAGCGCTCCCTACCATCCCCACCCCTACATGGTCTTAGTTAACTGTGGTTCACGCTATGTTTACCTTCGTGGAGTCGGGTTTAGTGACGGCTATTAGGGGCAGATAATTTAGTTTGAAACGATTTTAAACGGTGGGGGGGGGGGGGGGGGGGGGGGGCGGGGGAAAGGAAGGGGGGGGGTTATGGTCCTTAACGAGCTAATTATAGTGTTTTAAAGAAATATTTTCAGTGTCAGCGTTGGTACTGTCGAATTCACAAATTATGAATTACTGAAAAGTAGTAAAAAACAACAACTAAATAGCGGCGTATGTTATGCCGCGGGCCGGCTCGTTTTAAATAAAATGTATTGTATAATAAAATAAAAGAAGTGTTAAAACATTTGTGATAGTGTTGAAACGTAATAAAAATAGCAAACAGACGTATTGTTAAAGTTATAGCCGACAGAAAATTAGTTTAAGAACGCGTTAAACATCTGAATCGGCAACTAAATCTTGGATAGAAATCGCCATTTATTGTACTAAAAAGTAAACAACTCATGTGAAGCCACTATTACCACAAAGTTAAGTCAATGATTTAAACTTTTAAAATTAATGTGGTTAATCTATCTATGAATAGATCAATAAATTAATTAACGTCTTTAAATAAATTTGTGACTAACAGTGTGTCTGAAAAGAAAAAAAATTGTTCTCTACCTACATACTATTTTACAGCTCTCCACATAGAGCAGATCCTCTCGAGTCGTCAATCAGACAAACAAAAAACAAACAAACGAAAAAACAAATAAATATTCAAACATGTAAACAAACTTGAGTTTTAGTAGTATACTAGACTACCCGTCATCCCTTGGATAACTGTGGGTTTCGGGGGTCATCCATAAAAAAACATTACGTCTGTCACTTATCGTCACAAAAAACAAGACCCCATACTCAAAATGATGTTTTGTTATCTTTTAAAAACACCGATTTCGGACTATCCCTTCATATACTGACGTCACAGGTGACCTACTAAACTCTACTTCACCTGCCCGGTGTCCTGCCAAGTCTCAGACAACATGTTTTTATCATTTAAAAAAACGATTCCAGCCGAACACGTCTCTGACCACACTATTTTTCCATATGCTTAGGACAAAGAAACAGATGAACTCTACTTCACCTGCCCTGTATCACGCCAAGTTCAGATAGGCAACTTTATAATTTACATCTAAAAAATAAATAAAAAATGAAAAAAAATTAAGGGTCTAGAACCCGTGCCATCCGCATGAAAGCCGATTACACTAACAACTTAGCTATTTAATTCGTGACGTCACTGATGTTTTTTTTATAGTATAGTTTAATACTTTGAGTCTCGTTATGCAACTTGCTTTACGCTCATAGATCTAGATCTAAGTCTAGTAGTAGTAACTTTCAAATTAAATTTTATCTTAAATTAGCCAATTACATAGCTAAACAAACAAAGATTTATATAAAATAATGAAGGTCTGAAATTATCTAGATCTAGATAATTCTATCTAGATCTAGATTCTACGACTCGTTTGTTTAAGTCTTACGTCTAGTTTTTGAGTAACTCTTGCTAGATCTAGATCTAATCATTAGAACTATTCTAGCTAGATTCTAGATCTAGATCTATAAATAAGTTTTTTGGCCACCTGATATTTAGATCTATAAATAAATAGATAACTTTCCTGGACAGATTGTAAAGCTGGAGAAATTTATTGTAAAACTAAATGAAAAAGACAGTTGAAATTTTATTTAAAATTATGGCCGACAGAAAATTAGCTTTAGAACGCGTTAAACGTCTGAATCGGCAAGTAAATCTTGGATTGAAGTCGCCATTTTATTGTACTAAAAAGTAAACAAATTATATGACGTCACTATTCAGTCAAAGTAAAGCCATTGTTTGAAAAATTTAAAATTAATGTGGTTAATCTACTAAGGAATAAATCAATAAATTAATTAACGTCTTTAAATAAATTTGTGATTAACAGTCTGTCTGAAAACAAAAATTATTCTCTACCTACATACTATTTTACAGCTCTCCACATAGCGCCGATTCTTTCCAGTATTCAATCAGACAAACAAAAAAAAAAAGAAAAAAAAAAGAAAAAAAAAGATATATTCAAACATGTAAACAAACTTGAGTTTTAGTAGTATAGAGATAGATAGATAGGTAGATAGATAGATAAGTATTTCCTCAATAAAATATACACGGTTTAAAAATAAATAGCTTTCCAAAAATACCAACAAAGTGTTACAAAATCGTCTTTTAACTGCGTTTATTAGAAGCACAAACTGTTAAATCATTCACCACAAAGGATTAATGCATTTATGTTGACTTAAAATTCTTACCTTTAAAAGCTTAAAACCATAATCACATATCCGTCAAAAGCTAAATATTGACAGGCGTGTAAACACGATCCAAACTCTACCAGCTTCTTTTTCCATTAAATGCAAGCCATGGTATGAATAATTCATTTCTTAAAACTCACAGATTAGCAGAAATCATGAATGTTTATAACATAATCTCACAACCTTTTTCCACATTAAAACATCAATTGTGAGAATAATACACAACTTTACTCAAATCCGTTGAAATACACAAAAACACCATCATGCATATAAACATTCAAAATAAAAATCGAAGAAACCCCTTAAGACTGTCTTAAAATCTATGTATCTCTATTAGCAATAATACTCTTATCATGCCCCACCCTACCATTAATTGTAATCCTGACAACGTCTTTTACCTGACAGATTGTTTCAAGTAAGTGTTATGACACCAGTCCGACTTTGTTTTCCCTGGACTCTTGTGTGTGCCCCTTGATACGTTTTTATCCAAGATTATTGATATTAAATCTATAATCGACTTTCTAAGACAGACTTAACTGACCTAAAAATGGCTATCGTCTGTTTATCGCTTGTATTCTCGAATTAGATAATTTATAATAGTGTTGGAACCTAATAGAAACAAGAAACATATAATTAAAGCTATAGCCAAAAACTAATAATTCATTGTAACGCAAGTGACAAAATTAATACATTGTATAGCCATCTTTATTTTAAAGCGAAGCCCTGACCTATGACCTAAGTTCAAAGTTCAATTCACGTGCCGTCGTTACATTAGTAGATGGTCCAGTTCTTTCATGTAATCGGGGAAGTTGGTGAGTAACACCCGATCACAACGAGGATTATTTTAGTTAGAATCACTAACTATGAACTGTAGCAGTTGTTAACATCCATGATTTGATTTAATTACATTCTTGCGTTAAAATATTAACATTAAAACTTTAAGTAGTTAACGTAAAAGCTAGCAGTTGCACACTATGTAAAGGAATAAGCTGGAGCATGATTTTGATATAGGTACTGCATCATTTTTGTTTAAGCCTAAAATTCAAAGGACTGTTTTGAAATCGATCCGATTGGTGATTAAGACAGATCGAATTGGTTGGTGATTAAGACAGATCGAATTGGTTGGTGCTTGTGTTCTGGTCCTTGTGCAAGGCCGACAGGTACAGGTTGACGACCCGCTTGTTGCAGACGTAGGACAGGAAGAGGAAAACGCCCTGCAGGCCGTTCAACAGGATGGAGAGGAACCTGAGGGGGGGGGGGGGTGAGGGAAGAGTTGAAGTTTTCTTTAACTCAAGATTCATATGGTGTTTAGACACCCTTAGTTAACTGAACATTCAGGTGGTGTATAAACATCTTTAGTTATGTCAAGATTTAGATGATAATTTGGACAGCTTTATTTAAATCAACGTTCAGATGGTGTACGAACATCGTTAATTAGTTACCAAATATTTATCAATTTCGCTGTGTTTGCAAATTTTATAACATTTGTTCTTAAAATATTATATTTCCTATTTTTTCACCATTCATTTAAATGTAAAAAAAAATTTAAGGTTGCTCAGAAGATGAAATATTTCAGAACACATTTTTTAAAAGTTGAAGTCAACAAAATGGTCTCTCATAATTAGCAAACTGGGCAAATTTAAGAATGGCGTGGTAGAGTATTAGAGCGAACGATTGTTACTTCAAAAGTCATACGCTCTGTTAATGAATGGAATCACTATGTAGTGTAGTGAAAGTGTTCTGATGGGCACCAAGCGCCGAACAAAACAAAAAGTTATTGTCACTGTAATTACATTAGCTTATATAGCAAACCTACATTTTATAACCACTTAACGCATCAATTATGAAAAAGATACTTTAAAATACATTGTTTAGCTCCATGTTTTGGACAAATCAGACCAATGCCATTTTACTTACCTTAGAGCAGTGACGTCAAAAGCTTCGGCCAGGATAGCAAAGGTCCAAAAGGCCCCAGTCAAGGTGGACAGCTTGGCGTACACGAAGACATTCTTCATGACGTCACGGTGGATGAACACTGACGACTGGAGCTGACGTATGCGGTGGATCTTCGTCACGGTGATGACGAAAAACGTCAGGTCGGTCAGTATGATGGCAGCCATTGGGGCAATTAGTGAGACTTCTGTTAGACAGAAATGTTATTCGTGGAAATTTGTGAGACTTTTGTTGGACAGAAATGTTTTACGGGACATTCAGCGAGATTTCTGTTGGACACAGAAATGTTTTACGGGACATTCAGCGAGACTTGGACTGAAATGTTTTACGGGGAAATCAGCGAGACTTGTGTTGGACAGAAATGTTTTGTAGTTTTATAGTCGATCTGGTCAGCTAGAGTCAGGTTGTTTAGGAAAATGTTGAAGTCAAAGTCGTAAAAGACGTGCGTGCTTGTATACACTGATTAACAATACGCTGATTTACACAGTCTAATGTAAAATCTTTAACACAGTTTAGCAGTATTTCTTTTACACAGTTTGAGTTTTAAATGTTTTACACTATTTAACGGTAAAAAAATTGAAAGTATCCTTTTTGTATTGTAACGACAGTACTTGTTACAACAAAATATCAAATAAAGACCTGGGGCAAAACACAAAATAACAGCCAATAGATACGGACATCAAAGCCCGTCAATGGGGGGGGGGGGGGGTAGTCTGGACATACTATGAGTAGGGAAGAAGATAATTTTAAAACGAAAGCTGTCGACTGGAACTCCCAGGGAAAAAAGGAAAGTGGGCCGGTCAAAGATATCATGGAGAAGATAAACATTTTTAAAAAACAAATCACATTCTTGAATTACACGATACATTTACCTATTAAAAATGTGTTGTCCAAATAGCAACTTTTATCGTTATATCCTGATTTCCTCCCCTCTGTTAACACCAAGTTAGTAATGGCCACAGACAGACACACTGCCGTGGGTGGGAGAACGGACAAGCAGACGTTCCTGGCCAACTGCTTGCCCCGACCCCGGGCGGTGAGGGGGAAGGTCGGCGTCTTGGACGTGAAGACTTGGAACATTTGATAGCTGCAAATCAAAGTCCACGTGAACATCCACAGCCACATGAAGTGGGTGCTCACGCCTAGCGCCCTACAGAGTACACTCGGACCGACCCTGCAAGTAAAGGTTCACCTTGTTAAGAATCATTTTGGAATCGATAAAATAATTCTAAATGGCTTTTCATCGGCTTATATTCAATATAAAAATATGAAAATGAGTGTAAGCGATGGTTCACAAACGGCTTTAATTTTTTAAAATGTAACTTTAATAGTATCGCTTGTCATATTTTTAAAAGTTTTTTAAAATAATTGTGTATGATGACATAGACTTTTGCTGGTTGGTAGCCTTAAACGAATGAGAACAAAAGAAAATGTAACGCAATATTAACTCCAATGTGTTGTGTGAAAGCTAGATATAAAACATAAGGACTAGGATTCTTACCTACGTGGGCTTGCATTCAAAACTTAATAAACTTTTGACTTCCTTACGTGTGAAAGATAGAAATGAAAAGTCAACAAGGTCTAGACTCCTTATGTGTATAATCTAGAAATGAAAACTTAAAACAAAGTGTAGATGTCTTACGTGTGGGAGCTCGCAATTAGAGAACTCTGTGCAAAAACCAAACTCGTCGACAACATTACATTATTCATCCCAGCCGTCGTCCGTATCTCTGGAAAGATGGCGTACGTTGCTATGGTAAACAACAGACATGCCATTGACGCCCCAAAACATGTCAACGTCAGCAGGTACTCGGCAACTTCCGTCAACGTGCGGGGAGGTAACTCTGCAGCTTGTCTTGTGGTCAGTTCCATCCGGGTCTCAAGCAGCTGGACGCAGACGTGCAGAACCTGGTCATGGCTGACCTTCACAAACTTCAACTCCTGGTAGTCTAAGATATTCAACCGTGTCCAGTTGGTGTTTATCTGTACACGAACTTTGGGTGGGATAACATTGAAATTTATCTCTAACTCGTACTCATGTTTCTTAAAACTAACGAAAGGGCAGATTAAAAGATGGGAAATTGTCAGAAAGGGCTCTTGGGTCTCGGACTCCTTAACCAGCAGACGTACGTACTTCTCGATAAAAGGTTTCGGTATGTAAAGCTTGATAAGTGTTGAAGTTTTAACATCAATCTCGTCTGCTAGAGTCAGGTTGTTAAGGAAAATGTTGAAGTCGAAGTCGTAAAAGACGCGAGTGCTTGTATACATATGACTTCCGGTTTTGGTTTGTAACTGTATGTTGAGTAGAGATTCAGATACGATGCTCTCAAAGTGGTCTCTTTCTAAGGTTGCGTTGGGTACCATATCCCCTATGATGTAGAACACGGGTCCTTTTTTATAGTACGGTTGTGACGGGTGTTTGGAGATTATTGTCGTGATGTTGATGGTGAATCTCTCTGTGACACGCTCAAATCTCAAGCGGAGCTGAAAGTGGTTTTAAATTTTAGTCTGAATTGTATTTTATTGTGCTTAAAATTTCATTAAAATTAACGATTTAAACTTATTTTCAGACTCTTATAAAAAATATTTTTTAAATACATAAAGGAAAACACTTCACTTTTTTGGTAGATCCAAATGTGGTTTTGAAACCACATATAATATGTTAAGGGTGTAGTTGCTAAATTGCAGTTATTTTTGTGCTTCAAGTATAAACGCGCAAACAACAAAATTAAGAGGAACTTACTTCATTGTGCAACGAATTTGTTGCTGAATCTTCCATGAAGATATCCATTGAGCCAGGGGGCACTTCTTCAACTGGAGTTATCCACTCTTGGATTTTGTAATGGAGGAGTTTTATCCCCTTGAAGGCGACGATACATGACCTGTTATCAAGCACCTTCCCCTCACTACATCTCATTGGTAAACATTCACCCTAAATAAAGTGGTAAACATTCACCCTAAATATAGTGGTAAACATCACCCTAAATAAAGTGGTAAACATCACCCTAAATCAGTGGCGTAGGCAGGGGGGAGGGGGTTAGGGGGGGGTCATACCCCCCCCCCCATAGACCCCTCGGTATATATATATATAAAGTATAAGGGGGGGGGTGCAAATCGAAAGTTTGAGGGGGGTGCAAATCGAAAGTTTGAGGGGGGGGGGGGTGCAAATCAAAAGTTTGTCCCCGGGTAAAAATTTGGAACACCCCCCCCCCCTTGAGACGTTCCTGGCTACGCCATTGCCATAAATAAAGTGGTAAACTTTTTCCAAACACTCATTCTATTTTTTTTAATTAGACTAATTTTCATCGTATTTATTACCCTGCTATCGTCCAAGTCGCCAAATATCGCTCAAGCAGTTCCGTTTTGAAAAAAAAAGATTGTCAAACATTTGAATCTCCCCCCACCCCCACCCACCAGATCTGCTGTAAGACGAACTCACCTGAGCACCTGACCACTCAGTCACGTTACACTCCGTACAGCTGTCCTCGGGCAGACGAGACGTATCTTCTGCAAAATTTGTTCGCCCAAAGTTGATCAGAAGGGAAAATGGCGGGAAGTCACCTCCGTAGATGTTTCTGGGGTCTAATTTACAGGCAAGCGTAGTGATTCTGAGAAGAAATTAAACAAATGAACGAAGGAACGAACGAATAAACGAACGAACGAACGAAAGAACGAACCAACGAACCAACGAACGAACCACGAAGGAACGAACTAATGAACGAATGAATGAACGAACGAACGAACGAACGAATGAACGAACTAACGAACGAAAAAACGAACCAACAAACAAACCAACGACGGAACGAACTAATGAACGAATGAACGAACGAAGGAACGAACGAACGAACAAATGAACGAACGAACGAACGAAGGAACGAAAGAACGAACGAACAAACTAACGAACGAACGAACGAATGAACGAATGAACTAATGAACGAATGAATGAATGTGTTCGAACTTTTAAAAACTCAGGTTTTATAATCCATCATTGTTAACTCTCAAGCAGCCGAACGGAAACCCTTCTTACGTTCTGTCGTCCTTGTGACAATACAGTAGTTGGGCATCAGTGCCGAAGTCTTGCATCAAACGACAAGACGGTATCTCCACGGTCATTTTTAACAGCTCCACCAAACTTTTCGCTTTGAAGGCGTCTTTCAAATTAAAACACTGGAAGCTTATATCTGCCGACTGCAGCATCTAAAGAAAAACAAAATTTTTTAGTGGTTATAGGTAGTAGGCCGGAGTACTTAATTTTACTGCAAAATCTTTCTCATCAGTTTTATTGTTTGGGGCAAATGACAATGACATTTCTTAAATCGGTAATATATTATTTTTAAAAGTAAAAAATCATGTGGCAGGATAAATGATCTCAGACAAAATATCTCTCAGATAAAATATCCCAGACAAAATATCTCACGCACAAAAGATCTCAAAGACAAAATATCTCAAGGCAAAATAAATCTATAAAATAAAATAAAGTGTATATACTCATAAACGTGTATGTACATTTTGCGCACTATATATATATATATATATATATATATATATATATATATATATATATATATATATATATATATATATATATATATATAATTTTTTAATATTTTATTTTCATAAAATAGTGCCATCTAATTAACAACTTACGACATTAACGATCCCGTGGCACTCAGCACAGAAAATATTCTTAAAGGCCAGCTGAGTTCTGTGATCGTACACACGTGTGACTAGGTCAAAGGTCACGTTATCTGCGTCAACCCCATCCTCACATAACCTCCTGCTCTCACCATCGGTCAAGTGATCCACGGCGCACGAGCGGATGTACAGGAACATTTCACGTGTATCCTGCTCACACCCCAGCAGGGGGGAGTATGTCTCAAACGGCGTGACTTGCAGTGAGTAGTTGAAGCGCATTAAGTTTGAGTAGAATCCTGATTTGGATATTTCCAGCAAGTGGCGCGCACCTAGCGGTATGGCGTAGTAGCCACCAACACGAGTGGGGGTGGGATCGGGCTGGGCGGTGTTTGTATCAGGAGAGACTGGGTCCAAATAGTCGTCATCAAAATCTAGATCAGAGGTGTAGAACTCGGGGTCGCCAGTGATAGGTGCAGTAGAGTTGGGCTGGACAAAACCGGGACAGCACACGCCGTAGGTCAGGCATGACCGGCTGCAGTAGCAGAAGGCGCAGTATTTCATCAGACACTGGAACAGGAAGCTGTCGCTGGTGTAGACTAGTTCGTCACCCTCGCATCGAATGGGGCAGAGACTTTGGTTAAAGCCTTCAGGATACCACGTGTCTAGATGGTTTTCAGGACTGGTGTTGTTGTTGATTAATTCTGGCGACTGTTGATTGTTAAGGTGTGCGTCGTGATTACTGAATCCTGACCCTTTTTGTTTTTTAAGGTATGTGTTGCTATCACTTAATATTGACTGATTTTGGTGTTTATGATCGGTGCTCCTTGTGTTGGTTTTCTGTGTTGTGTCCGTATTTAGACTATCTCTGAACTGGTCATAGTGGGTAGTTGTGTCCGAGTCTGTTGATGGTGTGGGCTGCTGGCGCTCTAAGTCTGGCATCAGGTCAGTCATGTTTCCTGACAGTTGACCCCTCATATCCAGGTAAGTTTTATTTGATTGCGTCGTCGTAAAGGTAATCAAAACACACATAACAACTGAGACAAGTTTTAAGTCCATTTTCAGATTTATTACTAGCTTAATATCAAATATAGTAATTCGTATATCTGCAATTTAAACAGCCCAACTGTTTAAAAACAAAACCTTCAAGGGTTTTTATAGCAGAAAAAACAAGACCGTTATTGGTTAGTTGAAGTACTACGTCTCTAGTCTTCTTTATTAAGAAGACGGCAATTAAAGCATCGATTTCTTCTTTACCTTTACAAACTTAAACAAAATGAGGCGTAGTCTTCTCTTAACAATGGTAATTAATTAAATTTTAAACAGCGGCTGACGTTTAATTTTGGTATCGTAGCTAAAATTTCAGATTGAAAGCCATGAAATATTGAATAGGTTTTATTACCATCAGTAGACCTATAAACTTACTTGTAGGTTTAGCTTCGTATTTTGTGCTTGTGAGACCAAAATGTAGTATAGATATCTGAGAGGGGAGTGCGGCGGGGGGGGGGGGGGGGTGTTCTAATAAAATATATAAGATATTTTAATTTTCCTTATGTCAACCTTCGGAAATTATTTAAATAATGTGAAATATACGAAACACCGTTTTATTTTAAAAATAAAAATGACCTGCTATTTGAAAATTTTCAGAAAATTGTCTTAAATACAAATAGAAAATTGACACCATATTCTACGTGTGTGGAAAAAACATTTTAGAAATAAAAATAAAACACTACATTTTTTCAGATTTCGTCACATTTGTTTTCCTTGAAAGTTTAGTATTGGTATCACTCGTACGAAAATAACCTTCTTAAAATAGTCACAAAACAGTCAAAACAATCTTTAGATTGTAAGTTTATTATCGCTAGGGCTCATATACGAACAAAAAAAACTGTTCTCTAGCTTTAACCCTAGCAGTAGCGTAGCGAGGGGGAGGGGTGCGGGGGGACATATGTCCCCGGGCGCCGACCTTAGGGGGCGCCAAAATGGGTTGGAAAAATAAATTGAAAGGTTGAGGGGGGTGCAAATTGAAAGTTTGAGGGGGGGGGGGGGTGCAAATCGAAATATTGAGGGGGGGGGGGTGCAAATCGAGAAGTTTGAAGGGTCGCTACGCCTCTGAACCCTAGCGGTAACCATAACGACAGGGGTTATTACCACTCTTTCAACTAACCCACCACATTTTTAAATTTTCAAATTTACTAATTTAAAAAAAAAAATTAATTTTTTTAATTATTTTTTTACATTTTAAAATTTTTATTTTCAATTTTTCAATTTGAAAATTTTAAATTTTAAATTTTAATTTTTTTGTTTATAATGTTTTCAAACATTTTTGGTTGAATATAATAGTCCATCTCGAGTGACGTGTAATTAATATGGGGACACATCCTCAAGGGATAAGCGGTATTAGAGTAAACAAAGGGAAAGGTAATGGCAGGGAGAGGGGGGAGGGGGGGGGGTGATGACTATGGATATAAATTATATGGGGAGAATGTTCTAGATCCAACCTTAACACCAGTTAACTACTTTACAGAAACTTTGAAAAAAAAACCCTGAAAAAACTTGAATGTAATTATACGACTGAAAAGATCGATAATTTTTATGCAGATCATCGAATCATCTGAAATACTGCTGAAAGTAAAAATATCACTATACCTAAGTATCGCTACATCTCAAAATGTTAAACTTGTATGTATCGATGGAGCTATAAATATCGATATATTTGTAAAATAAAAGTGGTTGGGATTGAAATTGTAGTACCGAATTTTTTTGTACCGAATTTTTAGTATCGAAATTTTAGTACCGAAGTTTTTAGCAACGAATTTTTAATACATATTTTGTAAACAGACAAGTACCCCGATAACGCAACCTTGGAGTTACGTAGAGCATGAAACCAAGTTTCTCTCTACAACTGTCGCACGTTGACTCTAGCCTAACATAGTTTACCTCACTATTCTATCGAGATGGGTCTGTAACGCACCCCATAAATAAAATATTCCCTCCGGCTCCGCCCTCACGGATAAGGAACATGAAAGGGTGATCCACATTCACCACACACGGGAGCCGGAGACACACGGCTACCACCACAGCTGCGGATGTGGCAGCCGCAGCTTCCGTCCCTTCCTCGGTGACCTTGACATACGCTCTGTGGACAGCCGCCTGCAGAGACAGGCCTGGGGTGGAGGAGATGCCAGTGAAGTTGGCGCGAGAACCATCGAACGCCTGCGCCATGCCCAGCGTACACAGCGGTTCTTTTAGTTCCACGCTGCTGGTGACCTAGACATACAAATAGAAAAGTAAATTACATTCTAATTCTTATGAAAATTGTTTGTCTGTAATATAGATGTATAATGGTACAGAATCAGTATCAAGAAGTTGAAACATTAAGACCCGTGTATGTACGGCACTTCCCCACAGTGGGGTAATGGCATATGGCGATAAAATAGCTTGCTTAGCTACAAGCTGCATTAGTTTGTTTGGTTTTTTTTTTTTCTTTGATCTACCGGGGTATTTGATTTCCCCGGTAATTAACTTAACACGTGGCTAACACTATACGCCACCTGGGGATGCTTTCGATAAAACATCGGCAACTCTACAATATATATATATATATATATATATATATATATATATATATATATATATATATATATATATATATATATATATATATATATATATATGCATATTTTAAAGAAACAGCCCAACTGTCGCCTGTTTTATGAAATGCTAACGTAAGAGACCAACGCTTACTTCAAATTTTGGAAGAGACAGCTGGACTTCACGTTTGGAACTCGACAGTGTAGCAAGCAGAGAGTTAAGTTTCTCATTAGTCAAGGTATGGACAAGGTTCTGTAAAATAAAGCAGCATCAGATGCAAATATTTTATCACACAGCTGATATAGCCCGCCTGGTTAGCTCCTCCCACATAAATAATACTAGTAAACCCATCAAGCTAAAGCTAGTACCACCCTCCTGGTCATAAAGCTATGACTATGTAACACATGTGTTTAAGTAATACACATGTGGTGTGTTAGATGTGTACCTGTAGGCCGAAGTCTTCACTAGGGAGAATAACAACCATAGACAGTTTTCTCCCCTTGTATGGTATTTCCACAGCCGTACACCCGAGTTCACTGCTGACGGTGGTTGAGTATTCGTGTTTGATGGACATCATGTGCACGTCTTTAGTCAGGCCAGGCTTCACTTTAAAGGGCGATAACTTGGTTTTAGCTTCATCGAACTTTCTCTCCCATAAACCTAAAAAGAATATTTTTTTGAATTTATAGTTCTCTTGCAATTAATGTTTTTAGAAAAAAAAATTGAAATTATTCTTTTTTTAACCAAATAAGTTTTAATATTTAATAAAGAGTTTAATATTTCGATTAAAATCTGTTTAACATTTTTATTTGTTATTTTAATTTTATTTAAGCAAAATGTAAAGCCGATCACGGCTGTTAAATATTTGCAGTTGTCGTTGAAGCCTGCACGGTGTATTCCACCAGCTTAAAACACTGGTCGGTTGAACATTTGTTTACCTTTGAAGTAGATGGCGTTAACTATCAACATCCGGGTAACCTCGTTCACAATTCCAGGGGCCAGAAGGTCATTGACCCTGTTCTGTGTTTGTTCTGAGACCCAGCGGTTCATGTGAAGTCTTTGGTTGTCGGCGTCAGTCTTAAAATCACAACTCACTGGCTCTGTGTGTATTTGGTTAAAGATTTTAAAACTGAAACTAGGATGGATGACATAAAACGTAAAATGAATTTAATTGACACTCTTGGTTTTGAGCTCAGGACAAAAATGTATTGAAGGTTTTTAGGGAGAAAGTGAGAATGAGAAGGTGAAAACGGTGGGGGGGGGGGGGGGGGAGGGTTGTATTCATGGCCCTTAAAGAAAATCAAACTGCATGTTTTGTGATTTTTAGAAGGATTGGAAAATCGATAACAGTACATTGTCGCAAAATTATAAAGCTTTGCTTTTAAACATAATAATATTATCAATTTACATGAAATTGAAAGGTTTAACAAAAGTAAAATAAAATAGACCTGCATTATAATATTTCTTGGTTTTGTTTTTGAACTCGTCTAAAACTGCATAGCTTTTTTCTATGTAGATCCTATTGGCAGTTGACAGCTGGTATTGATCATTTGGTGTCTGTAGCTGTGTGACGTAAGCCTGGAACTGCTCATGGAGTTTCGTCTCGTCATCTGTCTCCCAGCGCAAGGCTTTAGCCATTCCTTGAGCTGTTTCCTCGCGAGCTCCTAAATGGGTCATGGCCAGAGCAACAGAAATGCTAAAAGGTGAAACAAACGTGTTTTGGTTCTGGTTTCCGTCGTAGAGAATCTTGAAGAGGTCCAAAGCAAACTTGTTGTTGGCAGCGGTCACTAGAGGTACGTCGATGGCGTCAGTGGTAGGTGTAACAATTGATGCGTCCAACATCTTTTTGGCAGCTGTCACGGAGCTTGTGTCCATTAGGTCTGCAAATGTCGCCACACAATAACAAAAGACACTGTTATAACCATATATGGCTAATTAAGTTTTTGTTTGTCCATATTACTAAAGCTAAAGAACGGCCTGGCTTAGCGGTAGAGCACTAGACAGCTAACCCGTTAGACTCGAGTTCGAATCCGGGTTGAAGTCAGTTACTACATTATTATTGAAGACACTATTATAAACTAACATGGCTAATTAAGTTTTTTTTTGTCCTATTGCTAAAACTATGGCCTAGCGGCAGAGCGCTAGAAAGCTAACCCGAAAGTCTCAAGTTCGTATCCGGGTTCAAGTCAGTGAATCATTCCTGAGTACACCCAGCTCTGATGGGTACCCAACCACACGTTCGGGAAAGTAAAGGCGGCTGTGCATAGTGCTGACCGCACATTCTCTTCATACACCGAGCTTGACTAAAATTACTTACAATAGTTTTGAATTCTCAAGTAGATAAGCGATGTTATACCAATCATCTACTGCCTGTTTAAACTCAGTCACACATGTTTATAAAATACAAATTGGAAAAAAAAAGTTGTGAACACATTTTCACAAAATTAGTTTTTAGCGCTGTGTGCCACAACAGTACTGTTTGGTGCTTGTATATTATAAGACTACTTTATTTATTTCTGTTAGTGAAATTCTTAACTCGAATATTAAACGTGCGCAATTACCTATAGATTTAAAAATGTTGATTAAAGCTAAATTGCAAAACAGAAAATGGTTATTTTTTAAGAAAAACCACCCTCCTTTCTCTCACTCTATGTCATTAAAAGGAATCTACCAGAAACTGAGGTCGTATTTTGTTTTTTTGCCTACTGTTTGTACCTTTATTGAATAAAATGAATAAATAAATTTATTCCCTCGGGTTTTAAAATAATAAAATAAATCTTATATAAGAGTTCGTAGAGCAATACTTCAATATAATACGTTTTCTGTTTTGCAGCTATATAAAATATGACAATTTTACATTTTTCTAAATTTTTTGAATTTTAAAATATTTTTTTTTGTTTAATGAGTTTTTTTTTAAAGAATTCATCATAATCCTTAATGTATGAACAGAATTAAAAATATGAAGGAACTGATTAAAAATCAATTTTATATCCACATATACATTTTATTTTTGTAAACATTTTAACAACTAAACAAAGTTAACAATTTTAATCAATAATAATTGCATGAAAATATTCATAGTCAACGTAATCATGCACCATCAATTGATGTACCATTAAACGATGTATGAGCAAATGATGTATCCGCTAATAATGTATCATCAAATGATGTATCAACAAATGATATATCAGCAAATGTTGTATCACCAGTTGATTTATCAGCAAATGATGTATCTTCAAAAGATGTATCTTTAAATGATGTATCAGCAAATGATGAAACAGCAAATGATGTATCAGCAAATGATGTATCAGCAAATGATGTATCAACAAATGATGTAACAGAAAATGATGTAACAGCAAATGATGTATCAGCGAATGATGTATCATCAAATGATGTATCAACAAATGATGTAACAGCAAATGTTGTATCAGCTAATGATGTATCAGCAAATGATGTATCAGCAAATGATGTATCAGCAAATGATGTATCAAACGATTTTACGTGGGTTCATATAGTACAAGAACACAGAGTCCAGGAAATAACACTACGTCTATTTTGTCCATTGATGGCGGCTGAACTTGATATGAGGTCTTGAAGACATGGGCTAGTTTATATTGAGGGGATCGTTTACTATGAGTCTTAGTATCGTTGGATGCTAGTGTCAAATTGACTTCACTGTCTCAGTCAGTGTCATATTTTTAACTGAGCTAGTCTAATGTTTAGAATAGACACATTGAAATATAATAATGTCATATAGTTTTTGGTGGAATTTCATGCAAAAAAAAACATGGCAAGTCACAAGACCATCTTCTCTTAATATCTGGTTAGGTCTGACTTTGATATAGAGATACTGTCTAGTTTTATTTTAAACATTGTTTCCTTTTCCAGAAGAAAAACATTTAAAGACACCACCGCTATATTTTTTTACTATTTAGCTTGGTATTAGTGTTGAACGGAAATATTGGCCACTGTGTTGGCACTTGCTTTGTTTTAGTTAGAATCTAGAAATTGGAAGATGGCATTATAATAGTATATTGACATCTTGCTTTGTCTCATAATTAACATTAGGTATGTCAATGCCGAATTGACATTTGATATGTTTTAGTCACAGTATTTATTTTGGAGAAAGCAAATATCAATTCATATTGACATTTGGTTAGGTGTCATTCGAGTTTTGATATTGGAAGATGTCAATATCGGATCATTTTGAAATTTGGTTAGGCCTCAGAATATTGGCAGCGGAAAATGCCAGCGTCATATTTTCTCGACGGCGGGCCTCATCTCGAGAATGGAGACGGTAGAGACGAGGGTGATGAAGAAGAAGACGTAGAAGAGCAGACGATCGAGCACGAAGGCGATGTCGTGCCACTCCTGGAACACCTGCTCGTCCAGAATCTCGTCCTCGTGTTTCGTCTTGATCAGCCCGATCAGGTAACGGACGACTACGTTGTACGTCTGCGTGACTTTTGAATTCTCCGGTTGTCTCCCATCGTCGGATTCGACTTCATCCTGACATTCCTGTTCGGGATAATAGACTCGCCCGCGCGCGACTCGCGGGCTGCTGGGTAAACTGCTGTCCGAGTGGTGCGGCGAGTGGCGGGGATGTTGGTGGTAGATGTGTTTCTCCCGCGTGATGTTGTTGCTCTGTTGGTGCAGCGGCGAGTACGCGCGCTGCGGTTGTTGCGTGTGGTTGTTGTGACGCGGGGTGTACACTTGCTTGAAGGTGCTGTTCTGCGTCGCTTTGGCCCGGCCCGACGCCACGGGCGTGACGTCATCGGGGGTGCAGTTCTCCTTGGTCGCGTCCATTTTGAAGTACTCACAACTCTCCTCGCTGCTCGCGATCCTGCTGCCACCCCCAAACTTGGACTCTCTCTTCGTGCCCGACCCCCGCGCGCTCTTCTTCTCCGAGTTGGTGATGACCTCCCCTGACCCGCTGACGTCACGAGGGCGTCGCAAACACAGAACGGGGGTGATGATGTTGAAGCAGAGTTTTCTCAGCCAGGGAGGGGGGCGTGTGGGTCTGCCTCTCTGGTGGTGGATGCTGAGTATTAGGACAGACGACAAGACCGACAGACAGCTAGTTGCCAGTACCGCCATCAGATATATACCTGGGATGTGAAATCAGGGTCAGTAATGATTGGGATATCAACAGATAATAATTTGTCACACTGTCTACGCCCTACTCCCACTATCCCCAAAACACAATCAGCTCTGTGGGTACATAAAGATCATGCATTTTAGACATGAATTTAGAATTTCCGAACATGATTGATTCGTTGGGTTTTTAAATTTCTCATCATGATTTATGTGTTAGAAGAGTTTTTTTCGTCGAGATACAGCCATCGACTCATGATAACATATCATATCCACCCCCCCCCTTTTCCCCTCACACACCCACCCCACCCCAACACTTGCAAAGGTTCACGAAAACAAATATCACACAAAAAGGGTTACACAAAGGTCAGAAAGGTCACACGAGAGAGGTTTTAAAAAGTTGAACCTACTAATGACCGAGATGGACTCACACAAAAGAGGTTTTAAAAAGTTGAACCTACTAATGACTGAGATACTCACACAAAGGTCATTAAAGAGGTTTTAAAAAGTTGAACCTACTAATGACCGAGATGGACTCTGAAGTCTGCGGCATCTTGTCTGCCACCATCAGCATGAAGACTGTGATGGTCAGGAGGACGCTCAGCCCCAGGGTAATCTTCTCCCCACTCTCTGATGGCAGTAGGAATCCTCCCAGACACAGAAAGCTGAGGACACACATGTATAGGTGACACATTGGTTAAATAGTCGCGACACATTGGTTAAATAGTCGCGACACACTGAGCTGTGGACACACATGTATAAGTGACACATTGGTTATGTTGTCGCGACACATTGAAATGAGGACACACATGTTTAGGTGACACATTGGTTAAGTTGTCGCGACACATTGAGCTGAGGACACACATGTATAGGTGACACATTGGTTAAGTAGTCGCGACACATTGGTTAAATAGTCGCGACACATTGAACTGAGGACACACAAGTATAGGTGACACATTGGTTAAGTTTGCGCGACACATTGGTTAATTTGTCGCGACACATTGAGCTGCGGACACACATGTATAGGTGACACATTGGTTAAGTAGTCGCGACACATTGGTTAGGTAGTCGCGACACATTGAGCTGTGGACACACATGTAGTCAGTGACACATTGGTTAAATAGTCGCGACACATTAGTTAAATAGTCGCGACACATTAGTTAAATAGTGGCGACACATTAGTTAAATAGTCGCGACACATTAGTTAAATGGTCGCGACACATTAGTTAAATGGTCGCGACACATTAGTTAAATGGTCGCGACACATTAGTTAAATGGTCGCGACACATTAGTTAAATGGTCGCGACACATTGGTTAAATAGTCGCGACACCAGTCAGTGACACATTGAGATGTGGAGACGGCGGTAGATCTAAAGACACACATGGTAAAGGACACAGTTGTTAAATAGACACATTAAGCTTTGGACAAGGAGGTTAACCAATTAACCTAATTTAAAATTAGCCTTACAAACATTTTAATTGGGAACGGTTTTTTGGAGAACAAAAAGTTAATAATGCGATTATTAACTAGAGCTATGATAATTAGGAGTGGATTCCGAAATCAGCCATTTTTTAAAACCCGAAAACTGTATCTTATATTTGAATTTTTAGACAAACATTTCAATGTTACATTGATTGTTTTCACATTGTTATTTTATAAACAGAAGCCACACGTTTTTAATCGATGTTCGCTACTTTGTCGTATAATCCTTCCAACCCCGAATTCTTCAATACCATAACAATCGCCATATTTAAGAAAAAGGGTGAGGTTCAAAAATTAACAAAATTTAGTTTTTTTATAAGCTACGATTTTTTACAGAATCCTCCTGGTATTTAACACAATACAAATAGTTTTCTTACCAAAAAAAAAATCACTTTTCGTACTAAACAACAAATCATGTCTATCACCCCATATCACATCACACAAATAGCTCGATCTGTTCTTGTCACAAACACCCCCCCACCCCTATACCGGGACCTATTCTAACATTATATAACAAGCTTGACAAATATCGTTGTGATTATTGCTACATTCAAATAACAACTGCCTCTAATGTGTGTGTGTTGATGTGTGTGTGTTGGGGGGTTTGAGTGTGTGTAGATGTGTGTGATAGGGGTTTTAGGTGTTTGCGGGCCAATTTGATTGAGCGCATCGCACACTTTAACCGTTCGTCTGTCTGATTAGATACCCTTCCCCTACAACATCCCCTTCCCCCTTATACACCAACCCCACCCCCCCCCCCCTCTTGCTGTCCATCACAATTGACCAGATCTAGAATTAAAATTTATGTTCCTCCGTTCTTCGCCGGTAAATTATTCCTCACTACTTTGATAATGGAGCAGCCCTAAACAAAAGATGAACGCCCTGTCGTTACTCATGCAGCAAACAACATCTAGAGACGTGAGTTTAAACTTGCTGCACTCATACGATGTGTTGGTCATGAACTCTGACGTTGTTGGATCTATTTTTAGATTATTCATCATTCCCGCTAAGTCGTTCTACTTGAAGTAAGTTGGAAAGATGGGAGGTGGTGACAAAATAAGGAATCAAATATCAATCCTTCTCTGTATTGTGTGATCGTGTCATTGGATTTGGATCTATATCAAGGGTGAACTGTTACAAAAACGGTTACTGTAAACTTATACCGTCCGGAGAGAATCTTTCATAGCTCTGACTTCAAACAACTCGTTTTACAGCACCACAAAACTAGTCACTAATATTCACAGCTAGTTTGATGGAATACAATCGTAAAATGTCTGTTTTTTTTTTATTTATTTTTTTTAAATATTTGTTTGTGAATTACTATATTTTAATTAAATATATATATATATATATATATATATATATATATATATATATATATATATATATATATATATATATATATATATATATATATATATATATATATATATTATATCCTAATTTATAAAAGGCCATGTGCGCTCTTCTCTCTCTCTCTCTCTTTCTCTGTCCGCAAAAAATTTTCGCCGGACATCACGTCAGAATCGGCAGCGATATATCGAGAACTTTTTACGGACTTTTGTTGAAAATAATATGTTAGATGTTTTAAATGTATAACCACAATTTTACTTAAAGAAGAAAAATAAAAATTAAAGGCGTATTCGAATGTAGAGAAACAGTATTATTTATGCAACCGGAAAAGCATTAATACATGTGAAAAAGAACGCATAAAACTGTGACGTCGCTATTGCTTATACATTAACTAATGACGTCATCTGCTGTGTTTTGAATAAAAAGAAATGAACTATTTCATTCAAATTTGATTTAGATCTACGTACACTATGAAATGTATACAATACAGTTTTTCCGGCCTAAACTCATAAAATTTATTTTATTTATTTGGATTCTAGACCTAGAGATTCTAGATCTAGACTAAATCTAAATCTACGCAATAACTAGATCTATAATCTAGACGTAGACGCTAAGATCTAGATTTAGACTCTAACTTCTCTAAAATCTATTCCAAAAATAAATTTCTATATTAGGACTAAACTATTTCAAGACTTATTTATTTTATACAAAATCTTTGTTATGAACTGGCTAATTTGGGATAAAAAAATAATTTGAAAGAATAGGCATATTCGTGTAAGTTAAGATTTTAAAATACGTGTTTCATTCTCCGTATTTTATAAGGTGCCTAAATAGCGGAGATGTTAGTGTACATTAAACCACGCAGGTGGTGCGGGTTCGAGACACAGCAAGTCAACATGGTTAATGTATTCTTTTTTATTATGCTCGGGCTCATTTTAAAAAAAATTCTTTTAGGAATCTAGATCTAGATCTAGATTCTAGATTGTCGGGTGTCCGATAGGGCACTTCCCGGCGCCGCAGGCGCTTCAAATTTGGCATGATCTTGCCTTGGTGCGACAGAACACGGGGGCCGGTTGGCCGAAAAGTCTACGATGTGGGGGTCAAAACTGACCTCGACTGACCGGTACCTTATATGAGCTATAAATCGAAAAAAAATGTCCACGGAGGAACCTCTTCATAACTCTTGAGGTCGTAGACCGACCTTCGGGCGAATTAATTAAGCATTCAAATTCTCAATGTTTTCGAAAGCCTAAGCGAAGCTGGGCAGCATGCCTAGTATATATATAATGGCTCTTATCCAAAAATAACAACGGGATTAATAAAGGAAAGTTTCGAGTCGCGTTGCCGGGTACGAATCCTTGGTATATCAACGCGTCACCAACTATGATGGGTTTGACACGACTGGGGTGTTAATGGCTTCTGGACATAGCGCTGACCAAAGCATTCCATCGACTCCATGGTAAAAGAAACAGATCGACTCTACTCTCACTGGACTTTTAATGTCCGGATGGATATTTAACTTCCAGATTAACGAAGTAGGCCGATTGACTAACCTTAAGATGATGCAGGGTATGATGATGTTCATAAAATAATATTTGGTCCTTCTTCTCAGCTGGATGACGAATGTTTAGGCGGAGTGACTAACCTTAAGATGATGCAGGGTATGATGATGTTCATAAAATAATATTTGGTCCTTCTTCTCAGCTGGATGACGAATGTTTAGGCGGAGTGACTAACCTTAAGATGATGCAGGGTATGATGATGTTCATGAAATAATATTTTGTCCTTCTTCTCAGCTGGATGACGAATGTTTAGGCGGAGTGACTAACCTTAAGATGATGCAGGGTATGATGATGTTCATGAAATAATATTTGGTCCTTCTTCTCAGCTGGATGACGAATGTTTAGGCGGAGTGACTAACCTTAAGATTATGCAGGGTATGATGATGTTCATAAAATAATATTTGGTCCTTCTTCTCAGCTGGATGACGAATGTTTAGGCGGAGTGACTAACCTTAAGATGATGCAGGGTATGATGATGTTCATGAAATAATATTTGGTCCTTCTTCTCAGCTGGATGACGAATGTAACGTCAGGGAACGGCTCCTCACAGCAAGCGTAGAACACAACGTTCCTTTGTACAGCCACACCTGTGTACAAGTAGATGTACACATATCATATGGGACCAAGTACACACATCACATGGGACCAGGTACACAAATCACACAGATATAGGTACACACATCACACAGATACAGGTACATACATCACACAGATACAGGTACACACATCACACAGATACAGGTACACAAATCACACAGATATAGGTACACACATCACACAGATACAGGTACATACATCACACAGATACAGGTACACACATCACACAGATACAGGTACACAAATCACACAGATATAGGTACACACATCACACAGATACAGGTACACAAATCACACAGATACAGGTACACACATCACACATATACAGGTAGACAAATCACACAGATACAGGTACATACATCACACATTTACAGGTAGACAAATCACACAGATACAGGTACTTACATCACACATATACAAGTACACAAATCACACTGACAATGGTAGACAAATCACACAGATACAGGTACACACATCACACATATACAGGTAGACAAATCACACAGATACAGGTACATACATCACACAGATACAGGTACACAAATAACACAAATACAGGTTGACGAATCACACGGAAACAGGTATACAAATCACACACATCCAGATACACACATCACACAGATACCGGTAGACAAAAAATATAACCTTTAATAAAGATACAAAGATTACATGGGCACAGGTAAAGATATTGCATTACCATAACCGGAAGCAGCACTTTCTCGTAAATATAGTAACAGGTGAGGTCACGTGATCAGCCTCCTGACTACTCACCTAGAAGTTCCCATTCCCCGTTGTCCACAAAGTTGGAGAGGTCCATGGAGTTTGAGCTGTTCCAGACGTTCACCTGGTGTAGGTGAGACAAGGCAAGTCAGGTGAGACAAGGTAAGTTAGGTGAGAGTGAGTAGAAAGGCTAGTTATTAACACAATTATAGATCTAGTAAATAGCACTTAACTGTAGATCTAGTAATTAGAATTACCTGTAGTTTAAAAAGGTCAATCATTCACATGCAGATTTTGCACGACAGTCAAACACTTACCTGTAGTTTTAGCAATGAGCGCTTGTCTGTAGTTTTCGAAGTAAAGCACTAATCTAAAGCTCAAGCATGGTAGTAAATCACTCAACTGCAGTTTTAACAGTAAAGCACCCACCTGTAATCAGCAAGATAGTAAAGCACTCACCTGTGGGCCAGCACGAAAGCACTCACCTGTACTCAGCACGACAGTAAAGCACTCACTTGAAGGCCAGGATGACAGTAAAGCTTTCACCTGTAGTCTAAAACTATAATTACGCACTCACATGTAGATCAGCACAAAAGTACTCACCTGTAGGCCCGTGTAGGCCCATGAGCCCATCTTAAGTTTACAGATTTGCGTGTCGAAAGGAAAAAACGTGATGTCTGTAAACCACTCACCTGTAGGCCCGTGTAGGCCCATGAGCCCATCTTAAGTTTACAGATTTGCGTGTCGAAGGGAAAAAACGTGATGTCTGTAAACCACTCACCTGTAGGCCCGTGTAGACCCATGAGCCCATCTTAAGTTTACAGATTTGCGTGTCGAAAGGAAAGAACGTGATGTCTGTAGACTACTCACCTGTAGGCCCGTGTAGGCCCTTGAGCCCATCTTAAGTTTACAGATTTGCGTGTCGAAGGGAAAGAACGTGCTGTCTGTAGACTACTCACCTGTAGGCCCGTGTAGGCCCATGAGCCCATCTTAAGTTTACAGATTTGCGTGTCAAAAGGAAAAAACGTGATGTCTGTAGACTACTCACCTGTAGGCCCGTGTAGGCCCATGAGCCCATCTTAAGTTTACAGATTTGCGTGTCGAAGGGAAAGAACGTGATGTCTGTAGACTACTCACCTGTAGGCCCGTGTAGGCCCTTGAGCCCATCTTAAGTTTACAGATTTGCGTGTCGAAGGGAAAGAACGTGATGTCTGTAGACAACTCACCTGTAAGCCCGTGTAGGCCCATGAGCCCATCTTAAGTTTACAGATTTGCGTGTCAAAAGGAAAGAACGTGATGTCTGTAGACAACTCACCTGTAAGCCCGTGTAGGCCCATGAGCCCATCTTAAGTTTACAGATTTGCGTGTCGAAAGGAAAGAACGTAATGTCGATCTTGCAGGAGGACCGGAACCGGATGACCGGCCCCCAAAAGACCCGGCTGTTGTTGTAGACCATGGCGAGGGTGGGCATGTAGCCGGAAGTGTAGTCGTCCACACTGGGGATGTCACAACAGTGACACAAGTTTATCATAGTGACATAGTGATATCATAGTGACACAACTATCTCATAGTCAGACACTTTTAAGACACGTATTGTTTTAAGACTAGATGTATTTTGAAAAACTCTAGTGAGTTCTATGTAGTTTATCTCTGCATTGTTGTAATGTTTCCCCCCGCAGGCCGATTGAGGCTATGAAACAGGTGTGACGATAGTGAAGTGGGATTTTTGTTGGGGGAATAGTTGGAGAGTTTGTATCGGATGTGTGTAAACTCAAAAGGATGAAGTCATCGATACTTAGTATTGTTTGCGATCCGTACTTCATAAAACAGACTTAAACAACAGCTCTAAATTAAAGCAAATACCATAATAAATCGGCCTCGACCGAAAGCTAACCTACAACTAAGTGACTCGTAAAATTATTAACCTAAAGCTTAACATACCACTGGCTAATAACATTCTCATTAACCCAAAACTTAACCTACCACTAGCTAGTACGATACTCATTAGCCCAAAGCTTAAACTACAACTAACCCATGGAGTTTTCACAAAAAACCTCACTAAACATAATGGCGTCCCAGTTTCTCCGTGTTGACATTGTCATGACTCACTGGTCAACAATTGGCTTGACCTCGTTAGTTGACCGCGTCACGTGGGATTTGTTTACCTTCATGCCATCACGTGATTTATGGCTAGTAACATTCTCATTGGTCGGATAAGTCAACCATGCTAGGAGGAACCTGCATGTTCATCAGATACATTCTGGCACCACTGAATGCAAGCATGTTGTGAAGTTCTTGAATTTCAGCTCACACGGCAGATGGAGGTGGGGTTGATTAGTAAGGTTAGTTCGTCGAGCAGATGGTGTTGTGGTGAAACCGTTTAGAGCACCAACATCGTGTATCCAATGACTTGGTGGTGTAACCGCCGTTTGTTAAGATTCGTTTAAAATTTTAACATATTATCATTACCTTTATAAGAAATACAGCAGTTATTATTGCTTTTATTTCACGTATAAACTCTACTTCATCTGCCCAATGGATCACTGGGTCTAAAGATAAACTTATATTGTTTTTATTTGCTAGAAGTTAAACCTAATAAAAAGTGATCCAGTTATTCTTTTTTTTCCTCAGAGTTACATCCAAGGTTGACTTGTGATTTATAAATTGTGTTGATTTCTTTAACGAAAATTTCATTTTTCGAACTGTTGGGACTATTTTTGTTATCTCAGTTTATTTTCAAACAGAAGAAACACTCGCAAAAGATAGAAGAGGTTTTATCATTCTTGTAATTTATTCACAGACCACTTTTTCCCCGTGAATTTAGACGCGTGAACTTCTCTCCCTTTGAAAATAAAATACACGCATTAACGTGAAGTTAATTACCTCCCCTGTCCAACGACTGTGCCGGTCACCGCGGCCCGCGGTCCGGCAGTGTTTGAGAACAGCCGGCAGACGATTGCTTTACGAGCAGCCGACGGTCACTCAGATCCTCGACCGTCCGGTCGATACACGACCGCTGGGATGTATAGTCGCTGATCTTGTGATAAGGGCAGACTTGCCGGATGGCCATAGATCAGGGGGACATATGCTGCCCACCCCGCCCCTACTCGACCGGGGACTCTCAAAACTTGTTCTAAGGGCCTTTATAAAGTGTACTTGTAGGCTTCTCGTTTCATGGGTTCATTGGTAATTTCTAGAGTTAAAAATAAATCTTTCTTTTTCTTGTATGTTTTGAAGATGTTGTTTTCTATATTTTAAAGAAATTGCCCAAAGAGTCCCACATGATCTAATATAGACCTTTATTCGAACGATTGAGAACTTGTACTCTCAAATTTATGGTGATTTACAGTGATTTTCTGGGATACGTTAAAGTGTTGTTGAGAAAATAACTTATTTATCGAGGGTATGTTTGTAGTATATTTGTAGTATGTTTGTAGTATATTTGTATCAGACTCCGATACAGTAGAACTCTACGGGAAGTCACTGTCGAGATTTGTTTGAATTAACTCGATGACGAAGATTCTATTCCTGTCACATACTAGTTTTATATGGGGTATTGTGTATCTATGTAATGCTAGGCTAATTTTGTCTATTTGACTCAATGAGAGTAGTAATATAAGCAACTAGCCAGTGTCAAATGTAGCTTACTACAGTTGTATCAAAAGTTAAGACACAATCTTACACTATCGATACAATGCTTCGATGTGAAATACAAAACTAGGTTACTCTTTCAAATATAATATATCTTTTCTAGAATTAAAAAAAAACGGTATTTAAAGTAAAAAAAAAAATAGTCCCATTGATAAGTTACTTAATGGCAATTCAGCAGAAAATCAATGAACATAAAATACAGGAAAGGTAATGGCAGGAGACAATAGGAAGATCATGATTAGGGTTAAACCCGGATGAAGCTGAGATACAGTTTGGACCAATCACTAAGACGTCCCTCGTATAAGACAAGACATTAAAAATACAAAAACAGGACATGTAGTAGAACTCGAGGCAGACAGGACAGGTAGAGACAGGACACATACAGGTAGTGGATAGGACACAGACAGGTAGAATACATGAAACAGACAAGTAGAGGACAGAACATAGCAGGTAGAGGGTAGGACATTCACAGGGCACGTAGAAGACGGGACACAGGCAAGTAGAAGACGGGACATAGACAGGTAGAGGACAGGACATAGACAGGACACACAGAAGACAGGACAGGACATGAGCTGACCTGTTGTACAGGACATAGACAGGTAGAAGACAGGACATAGACAGGTAGAAGACAGGACATAGACAGGACACACAGAAGACAGGACATGAGCTGACCTGTTGTAGAGAACAATGTCTGGCAACCAAAGTTTCTGACACGGTATCCGGATGGACGAGATGCCACCAAAGTCAGTGATGGACCAGTTGAGCCGCTCGTCAAACCACTCCTGGTGACACGAAATAAAAGTTTTTGTTAAGTTGTCTGGCATAAACAGTTGTTGTTATGTGACAACTTTGGTAGGATGAAACAATAGTTGTTATGTGAAAGTTATCACATAAAACAAAAAAATTAGTTAGAATTTCATAGACACTAAACATGTGTTGAACTAGCTAATGCTAACACATTTTGAATTTTTTCAGTTGTTGTGATTAAAATTACTAAACCAGAAATAATTTTAAAATGTGTTGCAAGATAGACGCACAGTCAAAATAATTCCTAAATCAAAAGCTCATTTTGTTCATTTTTACTTTCTCGTATATACGAAGTATAGAGAAAGTATTGTAATCGTGCAAAAAAATCTCTTGAAATTTTAACAATTTTCACCGTATTACACCTCAGTCCTTCATCACATCCGAAGTATAGAGGACTTATTTTAATCGGGCAAAAATTATCAATCCAGATTTATCAAAATTAAGAGGTTTTATGCGTAATCCATTCTGAAAAACTGGGCTTTGCAATCCTGTCCGTATGTCTGTGTGTGTGTCTGTGTGTGTGTCTGTCCGTGTGTAAACACGATAACTTGAGTACCGTTACAGCTAGGTTGATGAAATTTCATATATAAGTATTTTATCAAATTCGTAGATCCGTATCAACTTTTGAGCGATTTCCGATAACCGGAAGTGGTACTTTTCCTACTTTGAATTTTTTTAAAAGCCTATAACTTGAGTACTATTTCAGATAGATAAATGAAATTTCACATGTAAGTAAAAGATCTAATTCTCTACCTTCTGTTAAATTTTGAGTAATTTCCGTTGACCGGAAGTAGTAATTTACGCTACTTCCGATTTCTCAAAAAACTAATGTAAATTTTAAAAGTACTAATAATATTGCGCACTATTATGCGCTTTTTTTATTTGCGTTCACTTGGTGTGCAATTAATTTGTCTACGAGATTTTATTCTATTTTTAAAACTTTAAGTATTTAAAATGGATTAAAAATCATAACTATATCCCCAGTTACCATCCCCTGTTGTTTTATATAAGAATATTCGAGAAAGTTTAGGGGAGATCACTACCGGTTTATTTTATACGAATATCGAGTGAGTTTAAGATGTTAGATTAGAGAATTCCCACAAGATCTAATAAAAATCTAATAAGGGAGTTAATTCTTGCTGCAGGAAATTAACTGACCTTTGGATAACCTCCCCTTTCATTTATAGGCCAGCTTTTTTCCCCTTAACCACCGGCTAAGCGCTCCTAATTTATGAGTTGTGAAATAAAGAATGAGGATTCGATTAAGAAATCGATTTGCTGTGATGCTGCATTTTTGCCTTTAAAACGTCTGATATGCGAAAATGTATTAAAATTGCCAGTCAGTACATTTACTTTGTTTGTGAAAGTTAACGATTGACTGTTTATGGTGTTCGCTAATTGCTGTATTTGAGGTACGTCTTCTATTTCAGCTAACTTAATTATTCTAATTTAGCTAATTGGTCAATTTCGTCTGTTTGTCAGTAGGGGTTATCTATTATATCATTTTGATAAGTCACTAGGTTTGTATGTTTTATGATAGGTCACTAGGTTTGTATGTTTTATGAAAGGTCACTAGGTTTGTATGTTTTATGAAAGGTCACTAGGTTTGTATGTTTTATGAAAGGTCACTAGGTTTGTATGTTTTATGAAAGGTCACTAGGTTTGTATGTTTTGTGAAAGGTCACTAGGTTTGTATGTTTTATGAAAGGTCACTAGGTTTGTATGTTTTATGAAAGCTCACTAGGTTTGTATGTTTTATGAAAGGTCACTAGGTTTGTATGTTTTATGAAAGGTCACTAGGTTTGTATGTTTTATGAAAGGTCGCTAGGTTTGTATGTTTTATGAAAGGTCACTAGGTTTGTATGTTTTATGAAAGGTCACTAGGTTTGTATGTTTTATGAAAGGTCACTAGGTTTGTATGTTTTATGAAAGGTCACTAGGTTTGTATGTTTTATGAAAGGGCACTAGGTTTGTATTTTTTATGAAAGGTCACTAGGTTTGTATGTTTTATAAAAGGTCACTAGGTTTGTATGTTTTATCAAAGGTCATTTGGTTTGTATGTACGAACACATCACTCTACCCGAACACAACACACACAAGACCCGCAGTGAGAAACAACGAAGGTACAAAAAAGGCACCCAGAACGCAGAAGTTCCAGTGAATGACTGTTGACAAACTAAAGTGAACTCCCCAACTTGTAACGTCTTCATTGATTATTTTTTTAGCACCGCCTCTCGCTCACCTCTCACCTTAATTCATCGTTTTTTGCAACCCCTCGACCAGCCAAGGTCAAGGTCATCTATCAATTATTTTCGCGATCAACTCAGCAGAAGGGATATGAAAATAATCTTTGGGCAGTCTCAACTTTCGCTTTAGTTATCAACGAAAGGTCAATAATCGCATCGATGAAAGACGGAAACCCTATATTTATATCATCTAAGTGAATTAATATATAACAATAGTCTGTTAATATAAATGAGTCCCATTGAAGAAAGCAATTGAGTCACACAGAGAAACCCAGTGAGTCCCGTAAAGAAACCAACCGAGTCCCAGCGAAGAAACCCATTAGTCCCATTGAAAAAAGCAATTGAGTCCCGTAAAGAAACCCATTAAGTCCATAAAGAAACCCATTGAACCCCGTGAAGAAACCCATTGAGTCTCAGTGAAAAAAACCCCACAAAGAAAGCCATTGAGCTATATGAAGAAACTCGTTTTTGAGTCCCACAAAGAAAGCCATAGAGCCCAGTGAAGAAACCTATTGAGGAAACCCACTGAGCCCCACAAAAAACCCACTGAGCCCCACAAAGAAACCCACTGAGCCCAGCAAAAAAAAACCCACTGAGCCCCACAAAGAAAGCCATTGAGTCCCAGCTAAAGCGTCTATTGACTTTGTCTAAGACCGTCCAGGCCTGGTCTAGACAAGACTTAATCCTCATGTCTCCTGGCAGTTAACGTCTTGGCTCAGACCGTCAGACCCGAAGTCTGCCAACCCTCTCTGCCAACCCTCTCTGCCAACCCTCTCTGCCAATCCCAGTATTTACACAGTAAGCACAACGTTTGTGGAGATTCCATTTCATTTTCATAAACGTTTGTTTTTTAAGGAAACGTTTTTATTTTCTTTCGTTTAGTTTTCCAACTGATAATTTATTTTATACTGAAATAACAGTATAATTGTTTTAAATATGATTGTTTTTCATTAAAGTTGTTAAGAATACATAAAGATTTTCCCATTTGCTTTCCCTAAATAGAATCTCATTCTATAAATCTATATTTGTGCCGATAAAATGTTTGCTTTTCTCTTGATATCTCCGTGTCAATGATTTCGATTGCGACGAAGACCATTATTTCTTGAGGCCAGGTACAGAATTTCGCTGTGCTGCTCAGATATGTTTAAAATTGTCATAAAATGTCTCATAAGCGTCCAAATTTTGAAAACATTGTTGGCTCGTTGGCAGTGTGCATTTAGACAATTAAAACAAGAACATACAAATACAGTGTTGTTGTCTTTAAATAAGATAGCAGAATTCTAAAAAAATATTTACAGAAAAAATTTTTCTGGGCTTTATAATTTTGCCTACGGGAAAAAATTTAGTGGGGTCGTTAAAAAACGATTTTAAGCAATTAAAAAACGATTATAAAACACGCAGGGTATATCACCACAGATGTCGTCAAGAGATGGAGTGCTACGTGGCTAAAACTGAAACCAATCACGTGATCCAGCCAGAATAGACTCACAAAGAGAAGAACACCCCACCCCCTCACCCCCACCCTCTGCCCGCCCCCACGGGACCCAGCCTGAATGAGCACACACAGGAGACAAGATGGACGCAAGAAGTTCCAGAATTCTACAAGGGAAACCACTCGACAAAATCCGAGCCCCTGTTTACAGTCAATGTTGGCGCGGACATAAGTGGCTGGGGATAATTGACTGATTATGTGGGGGTCAATGACGCCCGTCCCCCCGGGCTGATGGCTGTTTGACCCACGAGACAGAGCATTACGTGGTCATCAATACTGACCAGTGCTTTAGCTTCAATAACATTAGGTCGTTAAGACTCGGGTCAAGTGTGCTACTATTCTTGGATGAATGGAAGATCTTTTCTTTTTGCGAGCAAGAGCAGGGGTTTAAAACAGAACGCATGGATAAGGAGTGGATCTGTTTGGTATCGTTATTTAAAACGTAAGCAATAGTATTTTTAGAACGTCGCTTTATGTTGGGGTAGTTAGAATCCTAAAAGCTTCAATGTCTAACAGGAGAAGGGGTGGTATTTTAGAAAGGACAAGATTTAGTCTCGTCTGTAGGTGTCGTCGCGGGGATTGTGTTGAGTCAGATGTGAAATGTCAGGCACGTCTGGGAAGCTTATGCCAGACACACGGGCAGAAAATGACTTCAAGTATCCGTTGCATCCACTCAGAAGTTTGTGGACAAAAAGTGTTTCTCTTTTAAAAAATCTGTCTAAGCATTCTTGCGGATTGTTCCTTAATAATCGTCCAGATTCAAAATCTGAAGCTGAAGTTGTATGTTGTCATAGCAATGGCCATTGCTATATGTAAGCAGACTCTACTTCACCTGCTCTCAGAAAGCTCAGACTTCCCCTAAAAGCAGGATGTGGGTGACTCGCCCTAAGTAGCTGCTGCTGTTAGCCTAATTATAATCTGGGCACTAGAATAAAAAAACAACAACCGTTGACTACATTGATGGTAGTCGAACCTACGAGTTTGGTAATAGCATTCATTCGCTATACCATCCAACTACTCATTACGTAGGTCATGTGACCGATGAAGGTTTTTAAAATTCAAAGAGCAATCTTTGTGTGATCAAGTACATACGTTATCTTCTATGTGATGGCCCGCGTTTGCTAGATAATCGTGATGTGACGAATACACATCAAAGTCGAATACGGTTAATCAACGTGGGTATTATACATAAATAAAGGAATCGATTTCGATATCAAGGAGCGAATATGGTATCAGC